TTTAATGTGTGTAAAAAGATTAAATTCTTACTTACATAATGATTTATGATAATTGGATATTTTTGTTATTGAACGATAAAATGAAAGATAGATGTTTTAAACTCGTCTAACCGTTTTCAATAAAATATTCTAATGAAGTCTAAAAAAAAGAAAGATCAGACATTGACTTGTATTATTATTTAGTACTTTAAAATTCGACAGATTGGGGATTACAGAATAAATCCAGTACATACATGTGTTATAAACATACTAACGTATCCCTGCTAAATGCTGTGAGCTAACATTCTCTGGCCAGAGTATTCCTATCTTTTTCTGTGTCCATGCTCCCACACATGCATACATCCCAGGACTATCTATACATATATATGAGCCTCGGCACGCCTGTTGTTGCTGCGTTACCGTAATCTCAAACCCAGCGCTTCATCCTTCTAAAAACTTCAATTTCATAGTTTTTTAAAACCAATGATCTTTTTACAAGTTTACAAAAAACGCATTAAGCAATATTTTCCATGATGTAGGAGATTATCAATGGCATGACAAAAAAAAATAAATAATACTGAAAAAAATGATATACTGTTTTACAAATGATCGATATGGTGAGGGCGCTGGGTTTGAGGCTACGGTGGGCAAGCCGTGTGCGCATGTCACTTCACTTGGACGATCTCTTTCTGTCGTAGCATCTGGAGGTGAGTGGTTGTACGTGGTTTACGCATAGGAGTATAATCCGTCGATTTTCTTACCAAAAAGGTAGCATCGGGCTTCAGGTACGGAATAGAACAACGAACGAAATACAGGAAAAATGTGTTGTGAGAATAGTTTTTCTAAAATGTTATTTTTTTCGGTGAATTATTACGATGAAAAATGGACGCGTGGTTGATCGGTTATATTCGCCGGCTGTTTCAAATACGGACCACATGCTGATCTTCGTTGAAATCGTTCGTCATATCTTTCAGGAAACGCGTTGAATTTCGCAATTAACTGTTGATCGTACGAAACGATTTACATGATAAAACGAGTAATTAATTAAATGTGCCTTTTAAATTAAAAAAAGAAAACTAGAAAAACGCAAATAACCGGATACAGTATGGCGGTCGCTTGTCAGAGCTGGAGTTGCGGTCACGAGTTCGAAAATTGCTGGAATATTACGTTTGTGATGTAAAAAGTCTTTCTAGTCCGGAAATTAAAAAAAAAAAAAAA